TACAGGATGATTTTCTCTGTTGACTAAGTGTCCTGGACCCCACATACTGATGGCCAGCTCTGCTTCCTGGGACTATTTCTGGCTCTTCCTAGCATCTCATGGGTATTTGCATATGTGCAGCATGGGGGCTGCTTAGGCCAGGCCCTTTATCTTTCTCTCCACCTCCCACCCCTTAACCCTCTGCAGCCTTGGGGAAGAAGTGCTAGGTCACCCCTTTTGGCTGCACCTGTCTCACCATCTCCACTTGTTTCTTCTCTCCCCTTGACAGTTCCAGGGCCAACATGTACAGTTTGGCAGGTTGGGCACTGCACAAATTCATATGGAGCCATTCACACTAGCTAGGACGTGAGTGGTGCCTCCTAGGCACCTGTAAAACCTGCCAACTGTACACAGCTTCCCTGGCCATCTTATGGCCATGGATAGGAAAGCTGCCTTTTTCACTGCCTGCCCTGGCCCAGCCCAGCCTAGACTGGGATTTCTTCCACTGCTTGGGTGTTCTAGTATGGCCCAAAAGTGACTTACCCTCGGCTTTGATCAGGAAGTATCTCCATGATGGGCCATCTCCCAGAGATCCTTTGGGATTCAGTTTATGAAAGCGAAATATGACTGGCAACTTTTCAGTTCTCATCTGTAAAACAAACCAAAGCTCAACAGACCGGGGTCACTGACTCCCACACTGCTAGGCTGCTGGTGCATATGCTTTCGTGGGCCGACTGTTAAGATGGGTCTGCCATGGAATTAGGGTAAAGGCCTCAGGGCTAGACTTAGAGCTGTCACCAAGTAGGAAATCATGAGGTCACCACAGACTGGATGCCTGGGTCAGGTCCCAAACCCTGATGCCTCCAAGGGCCAGGCAGGAAACGAAATGAGCAAAGAGGACTATGCAGGGTCTTCCGTGAGATGGAGAGCACGTACTCTGTCGTCTGCCTTTGTTGCCACTGTGTGGGAATGTGGGCTGGTGTTGCCAGATATTCCGCCCCATTTTCCAAGAGAACCTGGAAATCTGGACTTTTAAATGTTGGCAACTATTTCGAATTGAGAAAACACTGTGCAGGCCAAATAAAACACATCTTGTAGCTAACTCTGGCCCTTGAGTCTCC